AAAAGCTAACACATAAACCAACAAAGCAGAGAGTTTAACATATAAATAATTGTCACAGCTCTAAAAATATAATAGATTTTACAGAAGGGAACATTGCTACTGCTACTGTAGCATTATTGTGCTGGCTGTTTCTATGTCAACCTGATGTAAGCTAGAGTCATCAAAGAGGAAAGACCCTCAACTGAGAAAATGCCTTCATAAGATCTGGCTAGAGGTATTTTCTTAATTATTTGATTAATTTTTATTGATTAATTTATTAATTATTGAATGAATTGATTCATGGGGGAGAGGCCAGCCCATTGTGATGGGAGCGACTCCTGGCCTGGTAGTCCTGGGTTCTGTAAGAAAGCAGGCTGAGTAAGCCATGATGAGTAAGACAGTAAGGAGCATCCCTCCTTGGCCAGTAAGACAGTAAGCATCAGCTCCTGCTTCCAGGTTCCTGTCCTGGTTGAGTTCCTGTTCTGACTTGCTTTGGTGATAAACTGTGATGTGGAAGTATAAGCTGAATAAACCCTTTCCTCTCCAAGTTGCTTTTGGTCATGGTGTTTCATTTCAGCAATAGGAACCCTAACTAGGGCAATTATCAATGATAATAGGAAGACATTTGGGGAGTCATCAATCCTGGACTGATGTGATCAGGGTGATGGTGCCATCAGTTCTTTATACAGGAGAAAGTGGGATAGAGAAGGACAAAAGGCAGACTGAATCTGCTTCCTTTTTAACACTTCACGCCCTCACCTCTCCTTAACCCTAACTGGACAGCCTGTGTCACATGATCAGCCCTCAGCTGCAACAAAGTTTGTGAGCTATAGTTTTAGGCAGCTGTCTTCCCACCTGAAACAAACACTGAGTAAGAAAAAGATAGGAAGGATCATTGGGTAGGCAACTGCAATATGTGCCACACTATTGCTATCTGAAGCAAAACACTAACCTGCAAGAGCCTGATGTTTCTAGAACCATGCTATTTTAAGTCCAAATCATTGTAGGAAAATGAAGGGATTCCTGTGCACAAGGATGGAAAGTATGAAGTTGTAGCTAGCTAAGTTGACCCACCTAGATCACCTTCCTCAACTTCAGTTATCCTGTTTTTATTCTCAGTGGGAGTAATGGCTCTCCATTAGAACCACCAAGGGAGAATGGCTACTGCAGCTTTGCTACAGCGTTGCTATTGGAAGGTCACAGATTAGAGGCAGACTATAAAGCAAGGAACATGTTCCCATACTGAGCAGGCAAGCCCATTTTGTCACTTGAATTTAGACAGGAATGCATCCTATGACATCTCAGATGGAATGTAGTGTTTCTTGTCTTAAATTCCTGGACATCTCTAAACTATCATCTCCAGAAAAGAGTGTTTACTTGTCTAAATAAAACCCTGTTTTTACAGTTTTCACCTACCCGGTGACTCTTTGCCCTGTTATAGTAATTTAAGTGGGACACCCAATGAGTAAGTATGGTGACAATCAGAGTGTTATCATCAACTAGACTCTGCAAGGAAGATGTGACCCAAGTCCCTTTAAGAGAAATGAAGAAAGGCCTTTGCCTGTACTATTAGTGGATGTCTATCATCCTCCTGTCTCAGATCACCAAAATAATGAGTACTTTCATATTTTGTTATTGATGGAGCAAAATTCTTTTTTGTCTTAGAGGGACCATTCTTAAATACCCTTCCCGGACCCCAAGGTTTCCAGTTTTTGAACAGTTAGGAACACAGCATAGCATGGCATCAAGGTAACTAGATTTGGAAGAGGTGCAGACATAATTCAGATTTTCAGAGATTGTGAATAGCATTTTGTTATTAATTCCAATCTTCCGAATATTTACAAATGTTGAGCCCAAGTGTCTAGGGGGCAGGGTGGTTGGGGAACAATGGAGCAATGCCACAGTTTTGTGCAAGACTCAATTCAAAACATACTTGAATCCCAGTCCTCAAACTATTCCCAGCAGAGTCACTTGTGGCCTGGATTGCTCAGCCAAAGGTCCTAACTTTGCACTTCTCTTTTATTGTGTAGATAAAGCCCAACTCTTGACCATCTTTCTGGAAGAGTATAGGACTGTGATTATCTGCTGTGCTTTGCATGGAGGAGCATTAAGCCATAGAAAGTTGAAGGGGTTTGTTTGGTTTGAATCTAAGCCAGGAATTACTCTATGGTGGTGAATTTTCCATCAGAAGAATTCAAGAGTCAAAGGAAAAAATAAATCAATTAAATTCAGTCCTTTTCTTTTCAGACACCTAAGTAAAATGTCAACTGGCCACAGATGTACATTTCCAATCTCTTTGAAAACACAAAATTTAATAGTAAAAAGAATACTTCGTTGCTTATATGTGTGTCTGTGTGTACATTGCAATGCTGATAATTGAACCTAGGACCTTGAGGATGCTAGGAAAATGCTCTACCACTGAGCTACATCTCCAGCACAAAGAGTTTTGTTTTTGATCTAGTTAAGAACATGCTTAGTTGATACAACAAAGCTGGGGCTTTGATTACAAAAATCTATAAAGCATTTGGAAAGCAAACACCAAGCCCCTTATATGATTTATATGCCTGAGTCCCCAACAAAAAATTCTCCAGGAGAACCAGCTGAACATTCTCACACCAATAGGAAGAATCCAACTGTATTCTCTAATATCATCAGGGAGAACTGACTGTTCTAACGCCATCAGGGATTAATGGCTGCACTCTAACACCATCAAGGAGAACTGACTGTATCCTCTAACACCAACTGTACTCTCTAACACCATCAGGGAAGTGTTGGGGTTGGGTGTCCAGTGATAAAGGCACAGAAACAACTTTATTAGGTACCTTTTGGGGGATTGGGACAGAGAAGTCTTACATTGAAGAAAACTCTGTTCTCTTCTATTCTCTCTCTCATCTTTCCTTTCTCCTTCGCTCCTCTTTCTCTCCCTCTCTCTCCCCCCTCCCTTTCTTTCTTGTCCCCCCCAACTCAATCAAACAACAATACATTTAGAATTTGTTGCATTGAGCAATGCCTCAGAATACTAGTCCAGCTCCCTCTATTAATCATGCTAGGAAACAAAAACCATGACAAAGAGGTGGCTGGAAAGGTTAACAGAGGCACTGGCTTGGCCACATCTCCTGAGCAAAAGGTAAGGGCAAGTGAAAACATGAAAGCAACCTCTCATTTCCCACTTCAGAGGTGACAGAGTGACAAAGGTGGTCTGTGTGTGTTTCAGTCTCAGGCTGCTCTTGACCTTGGGTACTCAGAGTCAAACGTGTTTTTATTCTAGACAGAACTGTTTGGCTGGGTCAACAGCACTGCCGTGGGGGCAGGGAGTGTGTGTGGAGACAATGTGCTGGAACGTAACTCCCAAACCTCAAAACATGCCCAACAATAACAACAGCATTAACCACTGACCCAAAGGCTGGGGAAATTCTATCTCCACATCTCCTTCCACCAGTAAACATAAAAATACTGTCCCTGAAGGGCCAGAGGATGCCTTTGCTGAGTGTTCCAGAAAGTGTGAAAGGACAGGGATAGCTACATTGGAAAAGTTTCCCCAATGACAAGTCAATTGGGACTTTTTCACTAGGTGAGAAAAAGATTTGACTTGCAATTTTAAGAATAAAGGTGTTAGATTTCAGAGTTCTCTTTTTGTCACTTTTTCTCTATCTCTTCATCCTTCTCTCTTGTGTTTCTTCAACTTTTGTCTTTCTACACCCAGCCTTCCTAATTTTATGTTCCTCAAAGTAGCTGTCAGTTCCTCCTTTGTGAGTTCTATCTAATTTGCTCTTTGTCATACCTCGGGATCACTTTGGGGCTTCTCCTTCTCTTGTCCGAATCTTGTCTCTGCTGTTACCTCCTCAAAGAGGTGTTCTCTGTCCACCTAGCTAATGTTCAGTAGTCTCTTGTCTTATTTGTCTATGTGTTCTTATTTGTTACACATAGATGTACATTTCAAAAGAGTATAGCTCACATGACTATCTCATGTATTAATTCATCTCATGCCTAGCTTGTAGTTATGATTTATTTATTGGAGAGAGATAGAACACTATAAGCAAAATGGATATATGTATGAATAAATGGGTAAATGAATAGCCAAGAATAAATGGCTGAACAGAAATGAATAGGTAAATGAATTGATGAGTGAATAGAGATACAATGGGTGAATGAATAGATGTAATCAATAGTTTGACTTAAATATTTATCCAATTTAATCAAATCTTTTCCTTCATGATTTACGCCAAAGAAACAAAACTGGACATCAAGGTTATAATTAAAGCCATGGTGGTTAACCAGTTGAAGCTGTGAGAAATGAACTATAAGTTGGTTCCAGCTTTTAAAGGAGTACCTCTTTTCCTTCAAAATAGCTCTCTTATTTTGATGTGCTTTGATGCTTAATAAATAGTTCATAACTCCCAAGAAAATTCCTAAATAGTAAACTTGGAGACATTTCCTGTCTTGATCTTTTAAAGATGGAGAAACTAAACCATGTGGTAGGTAAATGAGTTGGGAATACTATGCTGGCCATGGTAGTTTCAATAAGAATGACCCCCATAACGTTATATATTATGAATGCTTAGTCATCAGTTGGCAGACCTTTTCAGAAAGATTGAGAGGTGTGGTCTTGTTAGAGTAAGATGTGGTCTTGAAAGAAGTAGGTTATTGGGAGCGGGTTTTTGAGGTTTTAAAAGTCCATGCTAGGCCCAGCATCTCTGCCTGGTGCCTATGGATCAGGATTGTAAAGATCTCAGCTACTGCTATAGCGCCATGCCTGTCTGCTTCTCACCATGACAATAATGGACTAACCTTCTAGAACTGTGAGCAAGGTCCCAATTAAATGCCTTATTTTTGTAAGAGTTGCCTTGGTCATGGTGTCTCTTCACAGCTATAGAACAATGACTAAGAGACTGGTTTAACTCCAGCCACTGGAATAAATTGTCCTTGTCCCTTAATTTAATAGACTGTTAAGAGTATCACTTTTAACTGCCTGCCTTCTAAGTATTTCTTCATTACTTGTATGTTTTGTTTGTATGTTTTAGAATAACCTCAACTTGGAGAGTGATTCCACATCAGAAACCAGCTTTCCTCTGTCCAAAGAAGTCCCAGGGGAGCACCAAGTCGTCCACCAACCCTTCCCTAGACAGCGATTCCCTCAAGAGACTGGGCATCCTTCATTGCAAAGAGACGGCCCCAGATCCTTTCTTCTTGACCTACCAAACTTTCCAGATCTTTCCAAAGCTGATATCAATGGGCAGAATCCAAATATTCAGGTAATTCTCAGCAGCTGGCAAGTGAGGGAGAAGAAAACAGTTTGTCTTCTGTTTCCTAACCTGATTCTAACAAGCCCTGCGGCCTTACCCCCTTGCCCTTCTCAACCCCGCTCTGACTCCTGCTGAGGGCTGTATTATTCCCATAAAAATACTATTTCAACACCCTTGATGGTTTCTGAGACACTGAGATATAAAAACAAAACAAAAATGATGCACCCTGAAATTAATGAAATGTGGTAGCTATAGGAAAAGAATATCATGGCTTGTGACTAGACCATGTAACCCACAATTTATCTTCAAAGTACTCAAGAAAGTACTTCCCCTCAGTGCCTTGCTAGCTTGCCTTCAACACCAGAAATTCCTTCAGGAGAGGACAACCTCCTAAGGAATAGACTTACCAAAGCATTAAATAAGAAGGAAGTGAGAATGGAACGTCCTAGAAGAGAGTTTGATGTATTTATTAAAATGGGATTTTAATAAAGCCAGGGAAATGGGACACCAGCAAGGAGTTCTTAAGTTTAAAAATGATAGCATTCATCTACATTACAAGGGAAGTTAAAAATGATAGCATTCATCTACATTACAAGGGAAGTTAAAAATGATAGCATTCATCTACATTACAAGGGAAGTTTCTTTGGTCTGACCCTCCAAGCATCTTCATGAAGGAGAAGCCATCCTCTCAGCAGCAGCTGTTCAGGGAATCACTACATGGTTCACCAAGGCCACATGATGGTAAACTATAGTTATGGAGCTCAGTTCTAGGATCTATTGCTCCCAGGAACACCCATCCACGAATCCGTGTTTCAGGGACAAACTCCTGATTGTGGGTATTGTTTGTACCTTCTCTTCTTCCTGAAGATAGTTCTCTTGACAGCTCAGAGAGGCCCTGGGCTGCCTAACCCTCAGCTCACTCCAATCTCTATGTGCCTGGTTCCATATTTCTGTGCTTTGCTTTGATTCCTTTCATTTGGCTAAGGACAGCTTTTCCTTATTTTATCATCATATCAAATGCCTATTAGCTTGTGTAGCAGCAGAGAGCTCCTCAACTTGGGCTCAGAGCATTCTCTCTCTCTCTATCTCTCTCTCTCTCTCTCTCTCTCTCTCCTGGACCTCACTTTGTAGACCAGGCTGGCTTTGAACTCACAGAGATCTGCCTACCTCTGCCTCCCGAGTGCTGGGATTAAAGGTATGCACCACCACTGCCCGCCTCTCAGAGCATTCTTATTAAGTGTTTCTCCCACACCTCCAGTATGTGTGTAGTGGTGGGGGGGATGTGGGGGGCACATGTTTGTGTGTGATGTGAGTGGTGTGTGTGTGTGTGTGTGTGTGTGTGTGTGTGTGTGTGTGTGTGTGTCCTTTCTCTCTCCTCCATGGCCCTTCTGACTAACTCTCCTGACACTCTGCATGATACCATTTCAGAACAGCTTTTCTCCATCAGCGTTGTTTTGCTTTTTAACAATGAATGTCACTGAGAATATACCTTCATTAATGACCATCAAGCAGTGGCTGCTATACAGAAAACACTACATTAGCTTATGAGACTCTAGAAAGCAGAGAGCCATATCCCTTCAGTCCCTCCTGTTGACGGCACAGGAATGACTATCCCAGCTGCCATGTAGAACAGCACCAATTGGATCTTGAAGACAGAGGAAGAAAAAGTACTGTGTCCCCAATAGAAGACAGAAAGAAGTAGGGCAGGGCTCTGTGAGTGCTCCACAAAGAAAAGTATGTTGGAAAGCATAGTTGACAGCACATGCTCAGCAGTCACTGCCTGTTCCAAGTCACATTTCTGATGAGTGCCGTAGTCCAACGATTTATTGTAAAGACAGACCCTTTGCTCTAGTGCCCTTCCTGGAACTTGCGACATGGCTCTGAAAGAGCAGTGGCTCTACCTGGGGGAGGGACAAACTGGCGGAGTAGGGACAGTTGGCTCCATACCATTGCTCACCACTGCTCCCTATTGTGGCTTCATCTACGGAAATGTTTCATTGTTTAGAGATTTTTATGCTTCCTAGGCTCAACAGCCCTCACCTCAAAGGTCCTTAGACCATGGTTAACCTTAATCTCCCCGTGGCTAGCATTTACCCCAAAGGCAGGAAATCAGGGAGAGTCTTAATGCTGCAGTCTAAGCTCCTGGAGAAGTGGATTTAAGAACTGCTACAGTAAAGTTACAGAAGAGTGCTGGATTAAGGACAAAGGAACACTGTGGGCTTTTGAGATGTTCTCTTACTGAAATTTTACTAGGCACTATTGTGCACCCAGTAATAAATTAAGTTTGGGACCAAACTTCTTGTGTCCTTTTTCTTTCTTTGTCCATCTGGATATGCCCAATCACTATCCAGGCACCTTTGGAACCTTGGAAAGTACCACCTAAATGTTAAGGAAGGCCCGTGGTGCAAAGGTTGTTGGGATCACAGGTTAACCCTGGGAAAAGCTGAGCCCTCTCCTGCCCACATGACAGATCTGTGCAAGCATTCAGTAAAGCATCCAAGGAAACTACTCAGTTTTCCTCATAATAAGTTGTGCTGTTCTTCCGAGTAGGAAGCAAGAGACCTTTTGAGTCAGTTCTTCCTGGGAAAGGAGCTAACCTGTGTGGAAAGAACTAGACGAGGTTGAGGTAAAGTAGCAGAGAATAAGGGTGGGATTAGAGAAGGCCCTACCCACAGAGCCAAGAATCCTCACAACATGGGGTCTCTCTGGCAGAGTCCCTTGGACTTTCACAGAATCCCCTCAGCCACCACAGAAGTGTGGTTATGGGTGGAAATCATTTGCCCTCATGCCACTGAGACTCTCAGCACCCTGCTTCTATGGACTTGGAACAGGTGAAAGTCCTCATCAAGGCTTTTCATTTGGTGCTGTCCTTACCCAGCGCTGCAGCAAGAAGTTTATCTCCAAATGGTGCTACTGAAAGGGAAGTTTTGGAGGACATGGCGGGAGTAGGACAGAGCTATTCCTAGGAAGGTTTCGTGTTTTTCTAGAGTCATCTTTTAGACACCAGAGACCACAACATCTGCCAAGAGTACAGGTTTTCTATGGCTTCAAATATCAGAGTTATTGGCAGAAAGTATTTGAAACTAATACAGTTCCAACACAGAGATGTTGAAGCCAGACACCCAAACAACACAAGGCCAATACGTCCTTCTGCCCACTGCGTAGTCCAGTTATTCCATTCTGCTTTAGATAATCCCAGGCTGTTGGTCTTCCATGGCGCAGAGGAGTGAGACAGAACTGTTTAATTGATCTGATGGCTTCTCTACCCTAAAGGGAATTGAGCTCCATTTCTGACCTTTTGTTTCTAGAAGGCCACAAAAAGTTAGTGTGTGACACGCAGAAAGATATTCAAACAAAGGCAGCTACTGTCTCCATGGACTCCGGCGCTCACTCTCTCTCTCTTTCTCTCTGTGTTTCTCTGTATGTGTGTCTGTCTCTCTCTGTGTCCCTCTTCTCTGTCTCCCTCAGTATGAGTGTGTGTGTGTGTGTGTGTGTGTGTGTGTGTGTGTGTGTGTGTACATGTTCATATGCCCAGCAGCCTCTACCAACCCATGCACCACTACACTTGAGTAAACCAGTTCCTTGGTGGTCCTTTAGAACATAAGGTGCTTCCCAAAGCAGAGGGAATAATGATTTCTGGCTGGCCTCATCCAGGCCTCAGAGCACTGTTCTTTTGTTGAAATCCACTAGCTTGACCCAGCCCATCCAGTCAAGCACAAAACCCCACCTCTCACCATGGCCCTTCAGCAGTTCTCTCCTGGCTAGTGGCATGAATATAGGTAAGGGGTGTGTCAGTGGGTAGGCTTCTGCTGCCAGAACCTCCGGTGCCCCCTCCCGAGGCAAACTACCCCTTACTCCCACCTACTTATCGTCAGCTGGAGCCTGGGAGCCTAGCAGGAATCAATACCCTTATCCCTGACCCCTCTGCAACTCTAAGCTCTGGAAATGTGCCCAAAGCTCCAGGGCTGGATCATGTCCCTCCTTTGAAAATATCTGTGCCTCTCCAAAGTGACATTCCTGAGCTTCTGCAAAGAGTTGTGTCCTTTGGGCCCCTTGACTTAGGGAGGAGAATCCTTATAAAAGGCCAACATCTGCTTCTGTGGAGTATTTTTATGCCATAAGTCAGGCAGCCTCCGTTCCATGGGAAGTAGAGTCCACTTTAGCACTAGTTTCAGGCTGAGGAAATGAGGGAGAAGGAAGTGTCATCTCTGCATAGAAAGAGATGGCCTTCAATTCCTAAGCTGCCTCTTCGTGTTAGATTTAAAGCAACTTGAGAAATTAGTTTCTGCTTAAAAAAAAAAAAATCATTCAGGAAAGAAAGTAAATCCCCTAGGACAACTTGGACTTGAACTTTAGTGCCCTTGGCTGAGGTTTTGTTCTTTGGTTGATGGTCAGATAATAAAAGACAAAAATTCCAAAATAAACTCATTATTAGACTTACTGCATCAATTCATTACTACAGTAGTTATTCACAAAATATATCCCTTTTCTGAATCAATCTGAGGTCAGTATCCACTTCAACCAATATAATTCTTTCTTTGCCTCCATTGAGAGGAACTTAAACCCAGTGATCCACAGACCTTTCTTCTCCACGCAGACTTTTTTGCACAGCCCTAGGCCTCTAGGTGCTACAAGATATACTCAGAGGAATTGGTCAGGGTTTTACATGCTTCTGCTTCTGATTTTTCCCTCCTGTGTCTATACTTTTGAAATGGCCAGTCTAGCTGAATAAGAGCTAAGAAATGACTGCGCCCTGGATAAGGACCGAAGTGCCAATGGGGACAAACCTGGACAGCTGAGATTCTCATGGGCTTCTGCTGTCATCATGAACTATGGAGTCAGACTGAACTAGGATTGGAATCTAGCAGCACCACTCAGTCTGCTAGTCTTGAGTTCTGTAGCCCCTGGATGTTTTTTCAATTTCTCCATACCTCAGTTTTCTTGTCTATAAAATTGGTGTGATAATTCCACCCACAATTACCTATGTCATCTGATCTCTAAGGGTTGAGATTATCCAAATGAAAGGCTTAGCATAGTGTTATGTGTATGATAAGCTTTCTGGAACTGATAGATATGATTGGTAAAGATGATGCTGATAAGGATGATAGGAAAGCATCTACAGGCCAGCAAGATGACTCAGCGAGTAAAGGCCAATATTTCAGAAACCTGGCTACCTAGTTCTACCCAGCACTCACAAAGATGTGAAAGGAAAGAACTGACCGACTCCACGAAGTTGTCCACAGACCTCCACACACAAATTATAATAAATATGTATACACACACAGGGCAGTGGGGGTGGGAATAAATAACTTTTTTAAAGATTATTGGGAATCAGAAGATTTACCTGGAAACCATCTCTACACTTTCTTTGTCATTTATCTTGGGAAGATGATTTCCCAAAGCTAAGTTTGTGCTTGAAAATTGAGTCTAAATTTTGTAGAATAATGTCTGGGCAGACACACTGCTACAGATCTCAGTGCACTAACCGCAATTATGTAGGGAATACCACAGTTTCTTTGGAGCATCAGCAGGTTTGAGACAAGAGGATTGAATGTCTTCCTGGTCTATTTTGTGTTTTCTGCTGCAGTTGTCAAGGAAGAAGGGCAGCAGAAGCCTTTGCTGCAGACATATTCCTGGATGTTCTCTGCTCTGGAGGGAATCCCTTTTCTGTCTGGGAAATTCTAATCTACATCCATCCACCCAGTCCCTTCAGCTCACAAAGCTCAGAAGAGCAACAAGAAAGAAAACTCCCCTAGGTTCACTGTGGCGGCATAGCTTACATATTCACGGTGGCCATGGCTCATTAGCAGTTAGAATGGGGGCTGTCTTAGTCTTGCTACAGAAAATGTTTTGCAGAGTAAGAGTCAAGAGTTTGGTTCTAATACAAGTTTTAACTATTTAGAAAAAAAACTGAACAGGATTACCAATTTGGGCAGAATTGATACCTACTTTTGCATTATCCTTTGGAGCTGGGAGGTTCTGTCTTACCTTGGGCCTGGAGTTTTTGAAAGAGTTCTCTTTCTTTCACTAAGTGTACTAAGGTACCTCAAGGATATATAAGAGAGCTAGAAAGGACAGAGAGACCTAGGGTCTTTATCAGCTTGAACTTTACTGTACTCACTCCATAACTCCAGTACATTCACATTTATTGCTTAAGAGATCTTTCCAAAGGTTTCCCTGACTCTAAAATATCCCACTAGAACAAGGGAAACAGGAAACAGAAAAGTAATCCCAGCCATTTGAGAAGGCATTTGCCATGCTCATTGCGTCTTTTTAATTGGATGCCTATAAAATTTCAGGTTGAAGATTAGATTTCTTCTATTGATATCAGTTTGAGGTTTCCACATTGCTGACTGTGGGGAAGGGTGGGTCCAAAGTTTTGTTTGTGTTTTGCTTTGTTTTGTAATTCATTTGGGGCAGTGGCTAGAAATTAAAGAGAAGAAAGAAACCTCGAAGCTGTTAAGATTTAGTCATTGATATAGTTTTTGGAGTAAATTCCTATTTTGCTACCCATTGCCTTACCAGGCAAGGACTCTATTTTGTTTGGATCAGAGCAGCAATTTGAGAGAGAAAAAAATCGTATTGACGGTAATAGCTTGAAACATGAAATTGTTTTTATTCCCGGCTTGGAGAAATTGCAGGGCACATTTTGTTTAAGCAATCCCTTTGACTCCAGTCTGAATACAAGTGGAGTATCGAAACTGTTGGGCACGTCACCCTCTCTTATCTTCTACTCAGAGACTGATTTCATTACCATAATTGCCTGCTTGCCTGGCTCCCCCAGCTCTTGGCAGCCTCTCTCCTCCAAGACCCTTAATATCCTTGCAGACAATTGTTGCAGCTCAGGAGTTCTATCTGCAGGCAGAGGGGGGTGGGGCTTCAAAGAAGAAAGGCTGTGTATTCAAAGACTCTGCCTTGCCCATCCTGCCATGGTAGTTTTATATATGCCATCCAGTCGTGTGTGCTTTATTCACTTGTCCTTTGAAGGTTCCATGTGGGTCCTAGTAGTCACTGTTCCCTAGCAACTGTCCATTCCACCAAACAATGATAGAACACGGGTGTCGTGTTTCTTTTCTTCTCCTAGTCTTAAAACTATAGCCGAATCACATAAAACCTTCATAAGTATAAGAATAAAAGGGTTGCTCACAAATTAAAGCAATGATGGTAACATGGGCTAAATAAAGCTCATGGTGCCCTTCTAGGCGTCCCACAACAGAGCAGACAGGTGTACTTGGCCTGATACATTCTCAGTATACTATGTGATCTAAGGTCACCCTCTAGGCCATATCTAGATCTCAAGCCCAGGACCACTATTGGCTTGGCAGCTTCTCTGAGTGTCAGACTGAGTCCGATGCAAACAACCCCCAAGCTGTTTATCTAAAGGATGGGCACACCCCAGTGCAATTTGGCAGAGTATCTCAGCAACTCCTCAGATGTCGGGTCAGGGCAAAACTGGGAATAGATTTGCCCAGTACATCTTGCGCTGATTACTTGGAGTACGTGTTTCTGATTCATTTGCATGTAACTCTTCCAGGAGGTGTTGCAAGAACTATGTGATGGCCAGAGGAACCCAATGAGTCTTTTATTATTTTTTTAAACAAGTTTTTCTATGATGATTGTCTCTCAGAGCCAAGAAGCTATGTTCTTCCAGGCCTGTGACAGATTTCAAAAGTAGGCTTCATTAATCCAAAGAACAAGTTCTAACCAAAGCTCAGGGACTATGTGCTTTGACCCTGCTGCTGGGGCTGAACAATGGGAAAAATGAAATATCATAGCTGGAAAGGCCTTGTCCTGAGGGCCTTGTGCTCACATCTATGCAAGGCCTGTAGCATCTAGCCTGCCCCTAGTACCTGGGCCTCTCTGCTCCCTCCATCTTTTGAGGGGCAAGATGGCAAAGTTGGTAAGAACATGGGCTCTGGACCCATATTCTCCTCATCTGCTACTTCCAAGCCCTATGAACTTCCTTTAACATCTGTGTGCCAGCTTCCCTAATCCATAAAATGCTGTCTCATGTAGCAATCACCACAACACTCAATAGCTTGGAACAATGACCATTGGATTGCTCGTGGTCCTCTAGAACAGGAATTGTGGTAGAACTCAACCAAGAGAGCTTGCTCATGTTCCATGTGGTACTACAGTGGATGACCCAACTGGGATTGAAAAATCCATAATAGTGTCAGTCATGAGACCTTAGCTTCAGTTTTCTTCCACATAGTTTTTCTTTGTCTGGCCTCTTTAAGCAGTGACCAAGCTTCCTTACATAGCTATGAGAACATTGCAAGGAAAAGAAAGTGCATGCTCCAATACACTTTTACGAAAGCCTCAGTACACGTTTTTGGTGTGTGTGTGTGTGTGTGTGTGTGTGTGTGTGTGTGTGTGTGTGTGTGGTGTGCATGCCAGTGCACACACATGTTCAAATATGTATGGGTACACCTATGTATGCAGGTACACATAGGTGCAGAGGTTAATGTGGGGTGGGGTGCTTTGGTCAATCACTTTCCACCTTTTTATATTGAGGCAGGGTCTCTCACTTGAACCCAGAGTTCTCCAATTCAGTTAATCAAGCTAGCCAGTTTGCTTTGTGGAATGCTCTGTCTTTGCCTCCCAAGATCTGTAATGACAAGCAAGCCGCCATGCCTACCTGGCATTTATGTGGGTGCTCAAGATTTGAAGCCCAGTGCTCTCACTTACTAAACAGGCAACTTTACCCACTGATCCATTCCCTCAGCCCTCCCTAAATCATCCCTCCCAACCCCATGAGTGTCATTTATTTCCATTCAACTGGACCTAGTACATCATGAGGCTAGCCCAGAGGGCAATAAGTGAAAATGGACTCTGCTTGTTGATGGGAAGTATGTGTGGTACATGTGCAGGGATGTGGATTGTGAGAATTTGATAAATTCACATGGACAGAGCATTTAGAACAGTGCCTGATGTGGCACCTGCTTAATAAGTCATGCTTTGCTGTGGCTGTTCTTTTGATACCTCAGGAACATAGACAGTGTTCCTTCAGTGAAAGACTTATTAACAATTTGGTCATCAGTAAACCAAGAAGCCCGTCATGCGTAGCTTCATGCCTATCTGAGGCCATACTCTTTCTAGTTGTGGAGTTCATGTGGGCCGTTCCTAGATGTCTTGCATTCTCTATCACCATGTGATTGCAGCTTTCTTTCACACGGGATGCAGCCACCCTTTTCTTTGGCTCTCTCAGACCTTTCAAGCTTGAGATTGCCAATTCGTCTGATTGCCATTGATCTGGCCTGTTCTGAATTCCCTCAGGTCACCATAGAGGTGGTCGACGGTCCTGACTCTGAAGCAGAAAAGGATCAGCATCCAGAGAATAAACCCAGCTGGTCAGTCCCCGCTCCTGACTGGCGGGCCTGGTGGCAGAGGTCCTTGTCCTTGGCCAGGACAAACAATGGGGACCAGGACTACAAGTATGACAGTACCTCAGATGACAGCAACTTCCTCAGTGTTCCTAGGGGGTGGGACCGTCCAGCCCCAGGCCACCGGACTTTTGAAGCCAAAGAGCAGCCAGAATATGGTGAGTTTACTATCCAGTAATATAAAATTGGTGGGGAGAGTAAATGAGGATGATAAAGCCTCACCGACATGGGGCCAAGCAAAACCCAGTTTACAGTATGTGGTTTTCAGGCTTCTACGAGGCATACCTCATAAAGGCTGTGTTCACAGAAGCCCTATGGAGCCATCCGCAGCCACAGTTTTTTGGGAACACTGTAATTTTCAAATTATACTTGAGATATTTTTTTAGGGTCTTTGGGGTTCTTTCCTGTCTTGTCTTCTCTGAAATTTAATTTTATTAAATCATCAAAGCACCTTCCCTCTATTCTTTAGCTGTTAAAAAAAAAAAAAAACCTATGCTGAAAACCAATGTATGTACAACGGCTTCCTGTGACCAGACAGCTATGTCATGTCTGATGTGACCAGTGGAGTGGCCCTGGGGAATCCACGTGAACAACTTGTGTAATAGGTTGTCAAAGCAAGCTTTCTCCTCTACATGTTATAACCCCAAGTTGAGACTACTAGGGTCATAAGAGAATGGGAAGTTTCCAAATTGAGTGATGATTACATTATTTTATTAAAATAATCAACATTACTTTCTTACTTTAGTTATAATGAGAGACAAGGTGGAGGGATCTCAGATCCACTCTGTCACTCAACGGTTCACCCTCCTTCTTCCTTCAAACAAACACTTGATGCACCACAAACGCCCCTGTTGTGTTCTTGTGGCTTTCCCATCAGCAGACCAAGGAATGAATAATACAAAATGAGAAGTGTGGAGATTTGCATGAGATGTTCCCCACCCCCATATGTCTCCGATATTTGAGTACTTGGTCCCCACTTGGTAACTGTTTGGAAAGAGTTAGGAGTTGTGACCTGGTTAAAGGAGGTATATCACTCAGGATGGACTTGAGGTTACAAAAGCCATCACCCTCCAGTGTGCTGTTCCTACTTCTGAGCTCTCAGCTGCTGCTCCAGTCACCTGCTGCTGGCAACTTCCACCTGTGAGCTCTAACCCCCTCTGTCATGGACTCTGACACTCTGAAACTATAAGCCCCAAATAAACTCTTCCTTTTTTGGGGGGGTGGTTCAAGACAGGGTTTCTCTGTGTAGTTTTGGTACCTGTCCTGGATCTCACTCTGTAGACCAAACTGGCCTTGAACTCACAGAGATCTGCCTGGCTCTGCTTCCCAAATACTGGGATTAAAGGTGTGTGCCACCACTGCCCAGCAAATAAACTCTTTCTTAAGTTGCCTTGGTCATGGTGTCTTATCACAGCAAAAGAAAATTATCAGATGCAAGAATGATACAGAGAGTTTCAAACAAAGATCCAAGCAAGTACTTTTCTGTCCATGGTAGTTTCCATTCCCTAAACTGACCATGGTGAAGTTGGATGGGCACTGCTCATTGGTACCTTCATTTGCATTCAATTCTTTGAAATCCTCCAACTTTTCATGGTCTAATTTTAACAGAATATTTCACAGTCATGTTTTTTTTTCATGGAATTTTCTTTGTAATGTTCATTATGGCTGTATTGTTAGTGCCTTAGAAAAGGGAAGCTAACTTTGGCCAGAATCAGTGTTGCTGGAAGGCAGGATAGATAACAGGGTGTCTTGGGAATATGCAGACCTCAGATATAACTCCCGCTGTGCTGAGGCTGAGCTGTATGGACATCCATAAGTATCGCATGTTTTATTACAAGCCTCAGTTTCCTTACCCATTAAAGGAGTAAAATTCTTCCTGCCGCAGACTTAGCCTGGGAGTTAAATGTAGCCATGACCATCCAGGACTAGTGGTGCTGGGTTCCCAGTGACCACTTCCAGACCAGTTCTGGGCAGTTCAGTGGCCCCTACACTAGAACTGGTCCAAAAAGCTCTACTGTGCAGACACCACAAAAGGAAGATTTTACTGTCCAAGTAGCATCTATGAATCCCAGCTCTCCACTCATTGCAATGGTGAGCATTGTCCTCCTTCCTTGAGCCCTTTGATGTCATTGAACTGTCAAAACGCTACAGAAATGTTCTCAGGTACAGTTTGTTCTTGTTGTCACTGTTGTCTTTGCAATTATTGTAGCTGAGGCTTGTTTTCTGCTATGAGCCACACCCCCTCTTGGTTAAGCTTTCACACAGTGTCCTCACTTGTGCTTCCAGCATCATAAATTAAGTTTGTCTTCTGTTACATATGTTATAACTTCTCCATCTGTCATTAAAACAGAGAGGATTTCTCCCCTAGAAAGATGTGTTCCAGCCAGAAATCCTGTTCTGCCCTTTGACCTCAGGAAATAGGAATAGCCCAGAAGGTCTTTGTTAGAAGCCGATCTGGACCAGTGTATGGCAGAGGCCTCAAGATGGTGAAGATCTGCCTAGGAGATTGCTCCCCTGTAGAAATGATTAATCATGTAGCTAATTTATGAGCAGTTAAGGATTTGCAGGAAGCCACCTACTGGTAGAATAAGTTCGTGATGGCTGCTTGTAGATAACATATTTTAGGATAGATTTTGTGGCATATTTCTAACAGATTTTAGAAGAAACTACTTCATGCAATCTTAGCATTCTGGATGCTGAGGCAGGAGGGTTATGAGTTTGAGGCCAGCCCAGCCTACATAGTTAGCTCCTGTGTCAACAAACAAACAAACAAACAAAAACAACAAAGAAACTACCACCAGTCTGATTTAGCAGTTTCAAACAACATAAGAAGGGTTCTCTCTTAGGAGTCTGCAAGTTGACTGAAATGTTCATCTGAACTAAGATGGGCTAGCTTGGCTGGAGCTGAACAGTCTCCAGTGACCTCAGTAACAATGATGGGGCTCAGTGAGACAATTAGGAGTGCTGAGATGGTCAGAGCCTCTCTCCCCCTGGCCCTTAACTTCCTTGGGGTCTTTACATGCTAGTGGAATGGTTCTTTTCAGCTAAAAAAGATAAGTCTACATGCTTAGACATATTTTAGGCCTTTGCTTACATCCAATTTGCCATCATCCCATTGATTGAAGCAAATCACATGGTTCAGAACCAGCATAAAATAAAGTGTAGCCAAGGACGTGGATGTGGAAAAAGAACTTATGAGCATCATTTCTCATACACTCTGATACACCATTAGCAGTTAGTCCTTATGCTATGTAGGTTTTGTCAAATTGACACAAACTAGAGTTGACTTGGAAAAGGGAACCTCAACTAGGAATTGCCTCCATCAGACTGCCCTGTGGGAATGTCTGTGAGGGTGTTTCCTGATTAGTGATTGATGTGGGGAGGCTCATTGTGAGCAGGTGGTCCTGGATTGATTAAGAAAGCAGGCTGAGTGAGCTATGGGGAGCAAGCCAGTAAGCAATGCTCCTCCTGGTCTCTGCTTCAGTTCCTGCCTCCAGGTTCCTGCCTTGAGCTCCTGGCCTGACTTCCTTTGGTGATGGATTACAAACTATAAGCCATAAGATGGAATACACCATTTCTTCTCCTAAGTTGATTTTGGTCAATGTTTTATCATAGCAAAAAAGGAAACTAATATAGTCATTTAGATCCAGAAAACCAAAGCAAGAAGTCCAGCTCATGCATAGATTCAAATATAGGCCTCAAAGTGAGCTAAGCCCTTGAGTTGAGGGACATTGCCCCACATGCGTTGGTGCCCTTAATGAAATGAAAAGGAAAGGCTGCAGGAGATTTCTGGATAGCAGAGGCCCCTTTGCTTTTATGAAGTCCAGAAGTACAACAGTTGGCCTCACTGGATTTTATCTAATGCTGCTATTCCCTCCACAAGTGACATGGCTTTTATCTACATGACATAATGTTTCTTTTTCAAACTTGTCCTCTCTCTTTTTACGGTGCAAAAATATGAGACTCTTTACTTGTGCCTCTCGTTTCTCCCTTTAACAAAATCTGGCCCAGTTTCTGTGTGCATGGTAAAAATGCAGTGTGTGCACATGTAATATAATCCACTGCATATAGATGGCGTCATTGACGAGCATGCAATTGTTGCAGGCATGTCTTCAAAGTTCTGAGAGAGAGCCGTGACTATCCTGTGTCAGACTCTTCTCCCTTTGGAAGCAACTTATCCCTCCAGCCCTGCGGGGTATATGCCCAGAGGAGATAGTAGAGAGGTTCACACTGGAAAGTGATGCCCATTTCCCTAATGTAAAACGGAAGCTTCAGACATCTGCTTGGCTGTGTGGTTGGGAAACTGTTTCTTACAAGAAATCAAAGTTTGAAAAAAATGATTGTGATGGAAGGAGATAGAGGTGGACGATGCTTCCAAAGGCAGGTATGCCATGAGAAGCTTCACCTTCAGTGAGGGAAGAGGCCATCATAGTGTCTTGTATACACACACACACACACACACACACACACACACACACACACACACACATCATTTCTGAATAGTAGGCTGAGAAGGCTCAGCACCCCTGTGATAGCCCAGGGTGTCTTCAGAGTGAGGATTGTGTAAACAACAGCCCTGGCGGCTGGCACAGGACCCAAGATTCAGGTGGAAACGTGTGGAGAACATTCTTGCTGGGTCTATGTAATAGTAACTACCACAACCTATTCTGAATGAAGGGTATCCCGTCCCTTCAAGGCACATAACTGCAGCCCCATGCCTGGCACTCACAGAGGCCCCAAGGCTATTGGAAGCTGTGCATAAGCCAGGAGAAATTATTATGGGGTGGTGTTACTGGAGGAAAGTCATGCTTTAGAGATCTAGGGCTTGATGCTACAGCCCAAGCTTTCCTTTCTGTTAACCTGATAACCCTGGACAAGACCCCCAGACACTCTAAGACTTTTGTTAATATTTACTTCTGATAACAGAAAGTCAGTCTTGATAATGTACCCACATCCTCACCCCTCTCCAACACGCCCTAGTGTGGTCTACTGTAGATGTAACAGTCTTATGAAATAAGAAACACAGAGCCAAATGCAGAGTTAAAATCCCAAGAGGTCAGAGCAGTAGCTAAGAGCTGAGACTTAAAACCACCTTCCTACCCTTTGATGCCGCTGCCGTCCTTCCCCTGAGAAAGAGACCTACTTCCTGTGTATCTTTTTATTGACTTTCTGTTCTGCCTTCTCATTGGTTGTAAACCCAACCACATGACCTCCTTGTCACTGCCTGTCTATACAGACCTCCAGTTCTTCTATGGTTGGTATTGAGATTAAAGGTGTGTATCTCCATGCTGGCTGTGTCCTTGAACACACAGAGATCTGCCTGTCATGTGATCGGAATTAAGGGTGTGTGCTACCAATGCCAGACTTCTGCTATGGCTTGCTATTAGCTCTGAACCCCAGGCAACTTTATTTATTAACATACAAATAAAATCACATTTCAGCACAAATAAAATACCACCATAGTCTACTTTTTCTTTTCCCATGTCATTCATAACTTCTAACATACTATATAATTTACTATTTTGTATTCATTATTCATTACACCATGGTGAGGAAAGCTATTCTTTTTTTTTTTTTTTTTTTTTTTTTGGTTTTTCGAGACAGGGTTTCTCTGTGTAGCTTTGTGCCTTTCCTGGAACTCACTTGGTAGCCCAGGCTGGCCTCGAACTCATAGAGATCCACCTGGCTCTGCCTCCCGAGTGCTGGGATTAAAGGCGTGCGCCACCACCGCCCGGCAGGAAAGCTATTCTTAATAATATATTCCACATACCTAGAATTATCCTTGACATATAGTGCGAGATCAACTAATATTCATTGGCCAGATGTTGAATAATGACTTCAAAGGATATTTCTATATTTACAATGAATACGTTAGTTATTTACTACTGTGTGACAAACCTCAGCACCTGAAAAAATAATAGCAGTCATTTCTCATGATTTAATGGCTCAGGAAGTCCAGGCCACTGGGCAGTTCTGCTCTCGATGGCTTCAGCTACATTCAGTTTCTATACAGCAGTATTGGGAGCCTCCCTTCCTCTGTCAAATGTTTTCTAGTCCTTCATGTGACTCTGTTTTTTGGAGGCATCTCATCATTCTTGAATTTGTTTGGCCTGAACTTCTTTCATGGTGATCAGATTTATCAGAATAAACTAAACTGGAAGTCAATGGGGACCATAAGGTCAAGGCAAGACCAGATTCTGTAGAATTCTCTTCTCTTTTCTCCTTTTTCTCCTCCTCCTCTTCTTTTTCTCTCTCCCTGTTTTCCTCCCTCCCTCTCTCTTCCTTCCCCCTGCATTCCTCTTCCTCTCCCTTCCTCTGTCCCCTCCCTCTGCCCCCTCCATCTCTATCTCCCTTCTTATTCATTTCCCTCCCCTATCCTCCCACAAGGAGGAAAGGTTTGCCCCAAGGGTTAGGTCCTAGTCATGTACAAATCAACACAGCATTGTAACCCTTTCAGTCTTCACAAAGCTGAGCACTAACATGAACCTGCAGCTGTAAGCCTTTGAGTTCAGGCTTCAACCAATCCCTTCAAGAGTGAGCATGATGTAAGTGGAAGAATACACGGCCAACAGGCAACTTGAACAGGAGACTTGGGAACTCTTTAGGTGGGGATGATGACCATCTCCCTGGCTCCCTTCCAGATTCCACAGACGGTGAGGGTGACTGGAGTCTCTGGTCTGTCTGCAGCGTCACCTGTGGAAATGGCAACCAGAAACGGACCCGTTCTTGTGGTTATGCATGCATTGCCACAGAATCGAGAACCTGTGACCGTCCAAACTGCCCAGGTAATTGTGGGGCTTTGGTTCCAAGTTCTAGGGAAAGGATTTTCGTTTATATTTTAAAACTTGAAGAAATTATTTAAAAGATAAACATTTTCCTCAGAAATCTTTTGACCTGAATGGGACAACTAGAGATAGCTGATAGACTTGGTGGATGAAAACATGGATTTCCTAAGTCAAGCACAATTGCAGAGGCTGTGGCCTAAGGGGCAGTGCCATATTGTACTTATTTAACTTGAAGGAGGGACTCTGATCAGTTTGGGACCTTGATGTGAGATTGTCATGATTTGAAAAACTCATTTGAAATCAGATATTTATGTCTGATAAGGCAGCCAGCATGAGTGGATTCTCATTCTCAGGAAAACCATGGAGTTAGCCTTGTCCGTAACACCTGCCTGAGAGTTGCCCAAGGCTTCCCAAGAAACAAACTGGTGCAACTTAGCATTTAATTGTGATCTTATACTGTAGTATCAGTGCCTTGAAAGTTAAATCAATCACTAACTTCATGAGGAGTCATGTTGGAAATAAACAATAATTATGACTATGGTTGTCAAAAGTTATAGTGGTTTGTCAAAATCTAGTCTATGGCCTATTTATGTAGGGACCTTTATTGTTAAAGGGATCAAACAGGAGAAACAGAGGCAACCAAGACCATGAGTGGCCCATAAAGCCTGAACTATGTGCCTCCTGGTCCTTGACATGAAGCTTATCACCCCCTGGCCTATATTTTCACTGTGTTCCCATTGCCAGGAAGAATACCAGCCTACAATAATATCTTGGGCCCTATCATAAAACCACACATTCCAAATGGCTTCATCTAAAGGAAATTTCTGAGACCAGAAATCTGATCCCCATACCTCAGACTTCCTTTTTCTACCCCTAGACATGCTATTCTCAAACCAGGAACATTTGGACCCAAACAAAAGTGGAAGCACAAAGGGATTTCTGAAGAAGCGGGGAGGGGCAACTGGAACGAGGTGCATGCTGGCAGAGGGCATGCAAAGAAAATGGGGTTGGAATGTAAGAAGTGGTGGCTCCGACTGCATGCCAGCCCTGCAGACATTTACCTCTCCTAATCTTCCCCGTGCTCCTTGCAATGAGCTGAGGTGGAAGTCGGGCCAGTGGGTCTGGGATGGGGAGGAACAAAAGGAGTCAATAATAACATAAGTAGGAGGAAGCAACATTCAGGAAGAATGTGAAGAAGAAAAGAAGAAGACTATGAAGAAAAATAGAAAAGTTAAAAAAGGTATTAAAATGAAGAAGAGGAAGATGGTCTGGCGGGGGGAGAGAAAGAGGGTGCTTGTCTAGCCACATAGGAGGTCCTGGCTTAGATCCCTTAGCACCATGCAGAAGGGAGAGGAAGGAAGGGGGAGCAGAAATCAAAGGAAGAGGAAGGAGGGAATAAGGAAAAGTGGGGAAGAGAAGAGAGGGGTGGAGAGAAAGGTAAAGATTAAGGAGTTGATGAAAAAGATGGTAGCAAAGAGAATGAGAGTGTTCTGAGTAATTCAGTATCATTCAAACTTCCATGACTTCTAGGTGTGTTATTTCATTTAATACTCAAAACTGCCTCATGGAAGAGAATTTTATTATTGTATTTGTTTGTCATTGAAACTGAGGCCCTAAATCAGCAACAAATGATAGTAATGGAATTCGAATCCATGCTGCCTGACTCAAGAGGCCATGACCTTTACTGTTACACTCTTTCTCCCTCGCCATGAAGGAAGGTCTCTGGCTCAGCCACACACGGACACAATTTTACTTTCAGTTGTAGGGGCATGCCTGTGTTCTCTTCAGAGCTAGCATACAGAGCCAAGCTGGTAGGTTCTTCCCTGCTACCTTTTCACGTTTCCTTTTTGGGTACCAGAACCACTGAGATCACTGCAGCTGGCATCCCTGTGCATGCATTTTCTTCTCGGCTGTCCTTGCCCACTTCGATCTTTCCAGCCTTTCTGCTTTAGGAGGTTCCAGCTCCAAGGGTTCATTTGGATATAAATGATTACTTTTAGCAGGGTCTCCTTTCTTATTTGGTTTGTTGAATCTCTGCTTTACTGGAAGTAGCTATGGAATAAACAAGGTCTTCTAGGCTTGTTTATTAATGATCATTCTGTAAAAGTATGTCCCCTTGGGGGCTAGAGATATGGCTTGGTGACTAAAAGCACTTGCTGCTCCTTCAGTTCCCAGTACCTATGTCAGGCAGCTCAGAACCACCTGAAACTCCAGGTCCCAGGAATCTGATGGCCTCTTCTGGCCTTCTCCGGCACCTGAACACACATAGCATACACATACACGCATACACACAAATAAAAATAAATAAATATTTCTTACAACTATGTCCCTAGGCCAACCCTTGTTTGAGGGACCTACCAAAATCAGAGTGATCTCTTAAAGGACATACAGTAGTGCTCAACAGTGAAGCTAGGGTTCCCCAAAAATCTACCAGCCTCCACTCTTTGCTCTTTCTCATTATTTAGCTTGCTGAATCTGAATTGGGTGTGGTAATTCTGAGGGGAGACTTAAGGGAGCTGAAAGGTTTGAAGCAAACTGGGTTCAGTTCCTTAGAGTGAGTAATAGGATTCTCTGTGCACCCTTTCAGGAGCATCAATAGGAGTAGCATTAGGACAATCAATGAAGCAGGAAACATGAGCTTCTACTCTCCCTTCTGGGAGATGCTCTCCCCGAATTTCACTCAATTGACTCTGCAGGGGAGAGGTGCCACTTAGTTCTCCTGACTTTACAGAAATTAAAACTAGGCACACAAAGATAAAGTGTCCTGCCCAGGTCCACACAGCTAGTAATGATTTAAAACCAGGCAGTCAGCCATTAAAAAGAAGGTCTCGAGCACACTGCTGCCTCTGATTTAGTTTGTCACTCATCAGACAGCCACCCTGACAAGTACCCCACCACCACCCACCCCTCATCTCTCAGACAAATGGGTAAGCCCATGGACTCATTGCAGGCACATTTGGATCTGATTTTGCACTGTGACTAGTATCTGCAGTTTTAATATGTTTTATGCACTGCTACCTGCTTTTACTGTTTCCTCTGTTGGCAAGTTTCTACCCACGAGTAGTAATGAATACAAAAAGGCTTTGTTCAGGTATATTTGTTTTGTATTTGAGGGGGTGGGAGGTGAATTTTTCCATAAAACTAGGGGAAAATGAGCTCTTGTCTGTGTTTAGGAATTGAAGACACTTTCAGGACAGCAGCCACCGAAGTGAGTCTGCTTACGGGAAGCGAGGAGTTTAATGCCACCAAGTTGTTTGAAGTTGGTAAGAGTTTTTCCCTTTTTTTAAATCCAAATATTGGTTCAGTGCTCTGGAGATTCATTTTGCTTTTGCAGTGCCATCCTTGGACCTATGAAAATGTTTCATTTTTCCCTTTGAGTGTCCAATGCTCCCAGCAGATTTCCTGCTCACTGACTAGACTCCAGGCAAGAAAGAGTAACCTCAGGCAAGGAAAAGCAACCCTTCCCTCCTACACTAGAATAGACTGAGCTGTAGGGCACCACGGTGAGCAACGTGCAGAGCCTCTTAGGTGAGAGATGGATTGAGTGTACCCTCCCCCTAGCACAAAGTAAGCCCACCACCCAATGAGCTCTGTCCTCACCCAGCATCCAGTAAAAGAAGTCTCCAGCAAATGGAAGGAAGAGGGGAGGAAGTTTTCTCAACATTATATACTTCCCTCCTTTGCAAGAATTTTCCATTGGTGGGGGGAACTTCAGTACGTTTTTCTGTGCTTCTCACTCCTTTACTAGAAAGTGCTGGCTCAGAAGCAGCAGCCTAAGTGAACACAACAGAAAGTACACACTTGGTTACAAGCTTGCTTTTCAGCACAGCTTCATTTACTTCTGGATACCGTACCATTCTGTGTTGTAAAAGAGTCAGATTCCTTCTGCCCCACTTGTTTTATTCCTGAACATTCTTTCGTAAACTTCAGGCTGCGGTATCTCCTCAGACAAAATTGAGCAGGCCTAAGTCTCTTTGAGTTTCCTAGCCCAACTATTTAGAGATTTAATTTTTCTCTTTCTCAGAGAACTACAGGAGACAGAAAGGATCTAAGTAGGATAATCTAGAAAACAGAGAAATACTGAAAAGAAATAATAAACAACGACAGCATCGTTATCAGCAAGCAGTAGTGGGTAGGGCATCGACAGTCCCTCGCCACATCAGGCAGTGATGGTGCCTCATCCCACCATCAGCGCCCCCAGCTGAGGAGGTATTGACAGCAGGAAGTTGCTAGGAGAAGGATGGTGAGCTTTCTCTAAGAGTGTAGCCTCTAGGAAGCAGAGCATTCTCCAGTTGAAGACAACATAGCCAAGAATGTTTGGACAACACAAATTGGTCTGGATGAGAGGAAGGGGGGATTGGACAGTGAGGAAGCCAGGTAGCTCTGGAAAGCTAAACATACTGTACAAAATTATCAAAGAACTAGTAATGTTTTTTCTAAAAGATGGGGGCAGCCATGCCTTATAAGGCCTTATGTAAGGTGAATATCAAGCCATTACCACTGTGTTATAAAAGAGTCGGATCCCCTGGATGCAGAGATCCATGACTAGGCCCTGGGTGGATCTCTGGGAGTCCAATTAACGAGAATGAGGAGGGTTTATATGAGCGAGAATTGTTGAGACCAAGGTTGGATAAAGCACAGGGACAAATAGCCAAATGAATGGAAACACATGAACTATGAACCAATGGCTGAGGGGTCCCCACTGGATCAGGCCCTCCGAATGGGTGAGACAGTTGATTGGCTTGATCTGTTTGGGAGGCATCCAGGCAGTGGGACCAGATCTTGTGCTCATTGCATGAGTTGGCTGTTTGAAACCTGGGGCCTATGCAGGATTGTTTGGCTCGGCCTGGGAGGAGGGGACTAGACCTACCTGGACTGAGTCTACCAGGTTGACCTCAGTCTGTGGGGAAGGCTTTGCCCTGGAGGAGATGGGAATGGGGGGGGGCGTTGGGGGGAAGGTGAGGGGGACGGGAGGGGGGAGAACAAGGGAATCCGTGGCTGATATGTAGAACTGAATTGTATTGCAAAATAAATTAAAATAAATTAAAAAAAAAAAAAAAAAAGAGTCGGATCCCTCCTGTCCCACTTTTTTTAGCCCCGAAAATTCTTTCATGAACTTGAGTCTGCTGTATCTCTCCAGAATGGAAAAATCAGGTAGGCTGATTTTCCAAGACAAATCCCAGATCCGGTTTAGCTAAAATATACCTTAATTTTTACAATGCTTGTTAACATTTAAAAAAAAATCCATTCCAACATGTCTGTAAGCCAAACTCAGGACAGTTTAGAAATTCTGTGTTAGTAGGGCCTCCACCTCACATACACAATGAAATTATATTTATTTAACAAGAGCCTTCTGCAAACACAGTTCATTGGATTTATTTTTTAAACTGACTTTAAAGATGTGAGTTTTACATCAAGTGGAAGAACAGAAGACATGATCTTTGAGGGGCAAAGAACTTCTCATGTCTCCTTGTGTCACCTTTCACAGGCAAGTACCTTCTGCCCTTTTGTGCAGGGTAAAGCATAAGGCCACATCAATGCAAGGCTAAGAATACCAGAACTAAGTAGACCTATTTCAGCCAGAGTCCAGGCAAAAATGAATTGAGTACATTCAGTGTAGGCAATTGGCAAGTATTTAGTGAAAGATCATTTATTTGTAAAACTGAGCAGAGTTGATATAAACCAAGAAGGGGACCCCAAGACTGGCAACCTTGGAGAGCCCTTACCATTCTTGATCTGATGGGACCAGGATAGGAGCAGCAAGCACAGCTCATAGGGAGAGCCACCTGACCACAGTCTCAGCTCTCCAAAGGATGCAGACAATGCGCAGTGAGAAAGGAACCAGTGACTCATTCTAGCTTTACTCTCTTCCCTCTGTGTGGTCCACAGATGGGCTTCCTACTGGGCAATCCGAATAGAAGTCAGAGGTGAAAAGTCTATTGATATGGTCTACATGGATCAGGACATGTGGAAGCCAGAGGTCAACATCAGATGCTCTCCGTCTTAACTTTTTGAGACTAGGTCTCTCACTGAATTGGGAGCTCATTGTTTCTACTAGACTAGCTAGCCTGAGATCTGTTATGACCCACATGTCTCTACTACTCCCCACCCAGTGCTGGGGTTACAGCCATGTTCTGATTTTTCATCAGTGCTGGGGATCTGAACTTGGGTCATCATGCCTAGCAGCAGGTATATTAAGCTGTCTCTCCAGTCTCCCATGAGGTATTATTACTGGTCAAGTTTGGTTTTTATAATTAATGCTTAGCGCAAGGCCCTCCCCTGCCTCCTGCTACCTCTGCCACCGAAGCTTGTGCCAATTGGGGTTCTGCAAGTAGCACATGCCAGATGGGGGTGAGCATATGAGGTGACAGTATGACACCTAAGGAAGCAGAAAAGAAGAACCAGGAAGGAAGAAAACCAACAACTCAGAGCCCTGTCCAACAGGGATTGCCCAACTGAGGGGACCCAGGGAGGAGCCAGACAACATTGCTTCCTCCATGCTTGGCCATTGACCTCCAAGGCAAGGAGGAGCCGGACGATGGGAGGCAGTCAGCAAAGTAAGCAGAGCAGGCTCTCTTGCAGGATCTGAAGAGGAAGTCTGGCCACCACCAGCCCTCCCATGGCTCACAATCAGCATGATGGCACAAGCACCCAAAACTGTTCCTGACTTACCCTACTAGAAATAACATTTCATTTCAGTTTTGAAATGTTTTGGCTTTGTTTGTTTGTTTGCTTTGTTTTGTTTTTAGACGAGAGAGCCAAGTACTCTGGTACATGCCCGTAATCCCAGCATTCAGAGGCTGAAGTGAGTTCCTGGCCAGCCTGGGACACACAATGTGACTGTCTCAAAAACAGCAATGGAAGAATGTCTAGGTTTAGGTAAACAGGGTTTTCTTTTATGGAGAAGTAAATAAATCCAGAAAGAACCAGTGGTGTGTTCATCAGACCGCTTCCTGTCACTGTGAAAAAAAAAGTACTTGAAAGAGAAAACAACTTAAAAGGAAGAAAGATTTGCTTTGGCCTCTAGTTTCAGTGCATGGTATTTGGCCTGTTGCCTTTGGACCTGTGGCAAAGCAGAACATCACAGTAAGCAGGTGATGGAGGGATGCTGTTTACGTCATGGAAACCAGGAAGGGAAAGAAGAGAGAATGAAAGTGACTGGCATCCCAAGATGCTTTTCAGTGGCACACACTGTTAACTCCTCTAAGTTCCACTATCTCTCAGTAGTGCCACATGCTGGAGACCAAGCCATCAGTATATGAGCTATTGATGGACATGTAAGATTCAAACTGTAACAGTGGGAAATGGGATGGAAGCGTGGCAAGGTGGTGCAGCAGATCAAAGGGTGTTTTATCCTGGGACCAGCCAACCTGCATTCAGAAGGGACCCTGATGGAAAAGCTGTATGTCACTTCAGCAGAGTGAGGGCCAAAGTCCAGGGGCTTAAAGAAAGGAGAGAGGTTTAGTAACATTTGGTTAAGATGCATTCTGTTCTGATCAGTCAGTGTGGGCTAGTAGGTCAGCTAATCACAAACAAAGGAAGGAAGGTAGCTCAGACTGAGCTTCTCAACCATAAATGGAGATGGGGCATTTATGAGTCTCATCTAAATCCAATGTGAAAAGGGCTCCTTAGCAGTAAAGATGGGATGGGGACAGAGTCTTAATATTGCTGCTTTCCAGGACAAAGTTCTTTGAATTGCTGCCATTGGGCCTACTCACATGCCTTAGCCCTCTTTTACTTGTTATTTTGAGATAAGCTCTCACTAAGTTGCCCAGGCTGACCCTGAAGTCCTTCTGTGTATCAGGATAGCCTTGGACTTATTCTCTATACCAGATTTACCTTAAACTTATTCTGTAGACCAAGCAGGCCTTGAACTTGTGATTCTCCTGCCTCAGCCTCTAGATTAGCTGGAATTACAGGTTTATATGCTCATGCCTCATCTGGGATAAAGTTTTTAAGTAAAGTATGACGTTGTCATTGAATGGGAATCCTACAAAGGGTTTTCTGAGTTCCTAGGTTACAGTGAGACTCTGCATTTGTTCCTCACATCTGTTTGATCCCTACCTTATATTAAGTCCCCGCTCCCCCTTCTGGCTATCATTTTCCCAGTGTCTGTTTCCACTGGCATCTTGGCCTCAGTCTGACAGAAAGCACACCAGGACATATGCTGAATCCAATGTTCCTGGCCCAAACAACTGAAAGACCATGAGAAGCCCTATGAGTGATCAGGCAGGAGCCAGGCTGATCTGGGAATATCCTATCCTGTCCAAGTAGGGTGTCACTGTACACCTATACCCTGGCCAGTTGTTCCCAAGGGGCAAGACAAGAATAGCATATGTTCAAATTTCAGTTCTTAAAGCCAGGAATACACAATTAGAATTGGAATCCATAAATTATTTAAAACAAACTTTAAATTTAAATATATTTCAATCATATTCTTCTGACTTCCCCCAAGTCCTTCCAGATCATCTCCCCCTTCCTACCCATCCAATTTTAAGTTCTTCCTCAAAACACAAAAATCCAGTGTAACAACAAAGCTCCCAAAACCAAGAAAACAAAATAAAACCACACCCAAAAGAGGGAAAATACCCACTAAACTGTAATCAAATAAAAGGAGTAGTTAACCAACATATAATTGGAATCCATAAATTCTTAAGTATTTGCAACTAAATCAACTTTTTCTTAATGCTTTAAAAACCCAACATATCACCTCTGAGTTACACTCTCACTCCTTTAAGGCATCTTAGCCTGTGAATTTCAGACAGTGATAATTAAAGTCCAGCAGCTGGGAGATGAATTATGTTTTAAACCACTCAGTGAGTGACAGAAATAAAATAAATTCAACTTGACAAATGGTCCTTTGAGGCCTTTCCACCACATTACCACTTATTTAGGAAATTCAATACAGCTCTCTGAATTAGCTAATTGTGTTAGGGTGTATAATTAGGCTATGGTTATCTGTGATGCTATTCTGCTTTTTGTTTTGTATTTGAGGGTTTTATTGGGGTTTGTTGAGATCTGGTTTGGTTTGGGCATTTTTTAAAGATGCTTTAAATTTAGGGATAATAACATGTTTCTACATAAAAATGTAAAAGGTGGATCAAATGCAGTGGTAGTTAAACACAGGTGAGGGAATCTTGGTAGCCATTCAATCAGTGACTTACTCTTTGCTGTCTGGTGTTTGAACATTCCTCAAACTATAAAGTAAGGAGTTGGGAAGGTGTCTTCCAAACTAAGTTGCCAAGTTCTGGGGTGATGAGAATGGCCACCATGTGTGGTGGTTACGGGTACCTGCCGGGTGCCGTCCTCCCAGCAACCTTAGCATGTGCTTAGAGGGATGTTTTGGTCTTTTTCAGACATGGACAGCTGTGAGCGATGGATGAGCTGCAAAAGTGAGTTCTTAAAGAAATACATGCACAAGGTGATCAATGACCTGCCCAGCTGTCCCTGTTCCTACCCCACTGAGGTGGCTTACAGCACGGCTGACATCTTTGACCGCATCAAGCGCAAGGACTTCCGATGGAAGGATGCCAGTGGGCCCAAAGAGAAACTGGAGATCTACAAGCCTACTGCCCGGTACTGCATCCGCTCTATGCTGTCCCTGGAGAGTACTACATTGGCTGCCCAGCACTGTTGCTATGGTGACAACATGCAGCTCATCACCAGGGGCAAAGGGGCAGGCACGCCCAATCTCATCAGCACCGAGTTCTCTGCTGAGCTCCACTACAAAGTGGACGTTCTGCCCTGGATCATCTGCAAGGGCGACTGGAGCAGGTATAATGAGGCCCGGCCTCCCAATAATGGACAGAAGTGCACGGAGAGCCCTTCTGATGAGGACTACATTAAGCAGTTCCAAGAGGCCAGGGAGTACTAAAGCACCACAAATGCACTGATCTGCCAACTGTCACCCAGTTTTTTAACCCACAGTTTTGTATATTTGTATATTCCACATGAGTATTTTTCTAAGTACACTAGGGGTACGCACCAGGTCTGGGGGACTGCTATGTCCATTGCCTACAAACCATATTGGAAGTCCTCCTAGTGGCTGTGTAGGCAGGAAAAGGAACCTGGGAGCCATAGTGGGTATGATTCAATTCCCACCTCCATCCTGTGCACAGGAGGAGCACAGAGACTGAGGTTGTAAACATTATAAGCAGTTTTTATATATAACTTATTTAATACGAATGTGACTTAAGCTTAACCTTTTCTCTGGAGTTGTCCTTGTAAAAAATTATTTAATCACTTCTGAGAGAGCTCAAAAAGGAAAGGACTTGGGAGAATGGAGAGAAAAGGAATTTTGCCGTGGAAATGCATCAAATCAAGAAAACAGCCACCTTACACCTGGTGCTCTTGAGTCATAGGGTGCTTGCTGGAGCCACAGATGCCAACACTTTCTTGTCCTTAGACTAGGCAAGGGGTGGGTAGTAAGTGAATGTTTAGAGCCAAATCTAAGACACGGTTTTAAATGGCTTTAAAATAAATAAATTTCCAGTGTGGTTCTACTAAGGAGCCCCAGCCGTAGCATTTCTGCTCTGCCTTAACAAGCTCAGAAGACTGAAGGAACTTCAGGAGTAAGGCTGGGAGTGGCACTTTCCAAAAGAAAAAAGCAAAGCAAGTGGGAAAATAATATGGGCCCATTTAGTCTATTTTATTTTAATATAACAACTTTTCTCCACCAATATATTCCCAGCAAATAAATATAAAAGGGGGTGGTGAGAGCTGATGGCTGGGAAATCCTGATTTTTTTATGTTTTGAGGAAAAAAAACCTGCATTATTTTTGTAAAGTATTTATTGAGTTATTGGATATTTTGCATCGTGCAGTTAGAAGATGGCTCAGTTCTGTGGGGTAGAACTGGGAGGGCAGATGAAAAGTTGGCTCTTATGCAACCTTACCTGCAAAACTCCAGGAAAAGAGATATATAATAAAATCATAATCAAATGTGTTACCTGCATCCTTAATTTAAGATACAAATATTGTAACTACTCCAAGGGAAGCAAGACTTTCATGGGGAGAAAGTTTCAACCCAGGTAGGAATAAAATACTCACAGGTGGTCTTATGGTGGTTAGGGCAAGTCATAGAAGCATTGACATCAAGTGTATCTCCC